CTTTCACTCTGTCTCTCTCTCTCTCTCTCTCTCTCTCTCTCTCTCTCTCTCTCTCTCTCTCTCTCGTAAGACACATGTCAGTAAAAGTTTTGAAGCACTTGGAACGTACTCGTAGTTAAGATAAATATAGAAGATTAGAGGGGTTACTAGAGAGTAACACATAAAGAGGAGAATAAGAGGAGATAAGGACAATAAAAGTCTGATAGGGTAGAAGGAGCAAAGCACACTAAAGCACCCACCAACCACTGATGCGAGACACGTAAATGAGTTGTAGATCGTGTCTTCACATGCAAACTGTTAAAACAGTGATCGTTTTCTAATTTCTTTTATGATTTTATCCGATTTCCATTCTTACACAGCCATGTACGGAACATGCACAAACAGTGACCAATACGGATGTCGCAGGGAGGGAAAGAATGGTATTTTGCCTCCGGTCATGTCCGGCCGAATCAACAGCATTGCTTCCATGAAGTATGGCACAGTGGAAATCAGAGCTAAAATCCCTCTTGGAGACTGGCTCTGGCCCAGTAAGTGCACACTAGTATGATACACGTGTAAACAATTTTCATCATTAACATCAATATCATCAAATCTTCATCATTAACATAATTGTCATCACACATGAAATCATTTTTTACAATTATTATCGCTGACAGTCTATATTGTAATATCCTTATGGTGTTCTCAGTACGATTCTGATAACTGTACTAAATCTACGCTCCACAACAAAAATTTTGGACTGTCTCCTTAGAGAAACGGAACCATAACTATTAAGAAATTAACAATGTTCAGTCTACTATCCACAAAACTATTCTTACCATAATTGTGTGCTGACTATAGCTCAAACATCACGTCCACAAATTATATGCCGGTGGATTATTTTATGGCCAGGACGTCCAGATTAAATTATGTTCAACGAGCCAAGTATGCGGAGAGCCTTGGTGGAGTCTCCTCTAACAATCTTCATACAAAAACACCACAATGGGGATTCGAACCACGGTCATCAGGGCCATAGCCCAGCCTGTCGCCAATCAGGCCAATATAGAACTCCCAAGGGGAGCAAGCCATTCCTAACTTTGACGAAGCATTGGAGAAATTGCTGTATTATCTTCTCAAAGCACATTTCACATTACACCATTTCCGAAGAATTTTCTGTTGTGCTCCACATATTTCATATTTTAAATGCATTGTTTGTTGATTTGATTTTCTGCACGGTCACGATTTTCTTTCGTGTGTTTATGATAACTCTTTACATAGCCAGAACCCATACAACAATTACTGTATATTTATTGGATGGAGGTAATAATTTAGTAGTTAGCGGTGTATCAATCCTAATGTGATTGGCATTTTCCAGTCTGAGAAGCTTTTGAAAGGGTCAAGTGAGAAACAGAGTTTACGTTGACCATACCATGACTTTACCTGTTTAAAACTTTTTAAATGATGGACTTGGCATGTTCTTGAACTGATTTACTGTTGATTTGTTGTTGAAAAAAATAGTTTGTGAACAAGCATTGGGATCTTCTAGAGCTACCGTTGTAAGTCAAGAGCTAGTACACTTTAAAAAAATTAATTAAATGACCCTATCCTGTTTTTTTAACTAGATTCCTTCATTTCTGTCCAACCGTTTTTCCAAGTTTGCAAGTTTCCAAATTATCAGTTCTAGGATCAGTAGCGTTGCGAGATTTGAATATCTTTTTCATGGTGTACTTATTTATTACAAACTCTTACACTCTTTCTTTGCTTTGTCCTGTATAATACTATTATCCCTCCCTCTAACCTCTTCATTTTTCCGTACCCACTCCCTGTCAGTCTCTTCACTCAGTCACTGATCGCTCAAAGTTGGAATCATTACCCCAGAAACATCGAATATGCGTCTTTTACATTTTATGGGCAAAGGGTTCGTGGCCGGTAAACAGATTCAAATGTTCATGATATAAAACTCTGCTTGTTGGTTGGTGATTGCCTCTATCTTTGACTAACTGTTCACACCTGTGTCTGTCAGCCATCTGGCTGTGGCCCAAAGACAGCAAATATGGCGGCTGGCCCAAATCCGGAGAAATTGACATTATGGAATCCAGAGGTAGGTCGCATTGTGAAGTGTGTGTGTGTGTTTGTGTGTGTGTGTGTTTGTGTGTGTGTA